TGAGACTGTCTCTGGGAGAAGGGGGTGATGGGGGTGGCTAAAGGGGGGACCCCTTTAAAATCTTGAGTTGGAAAGCTTTCACCCCAAGTCCTGTTTAGAACGCCTGCAACCATCTTCTCTTAATAAAGATGCCTATTGGAAGAAATATTCCAAGAGTTCTGTCTTCTTAAGATGCAAAGTGGGGTAGGTCCTTACACATATTATGTGTTGTGCTAAAAGGTAATATTTGGTTTCAGGTTAATGTGAATCTGAACCCAACCTTAATTTATTCAAAATACCATGGTTAAAACAATGCAACTTAATACAGTATATGATCATCCCTGTCATTCCCTCTTCCCACTGCCAGAAAATAAGTGTCCTTCACATGCAATGGGAATACACCCCAAATTAGCTGAATCTAAGAGGGAGAAAATAGACAAATTCCAAATTATATATTTGTTAAAGATGCTATTAAGAACTTTTTAAAAATCAAAGATATTTTTTTAAAAAATGCCAAAGCAAACTTAAAACATGGACACACCCAACAGAGATCAGATACAGATATGTTACCTTAATTATAGATGGATACACTATTGGATATAATCACAGGAGCTAGAAGATATTCTTAAATAGGAAAAGATCATCACCTTAAAGCAGGAGGCTTCAAACTTAGCCCTTTTATGACTTGTGGACTTCAACTTCCAGAATTACATATTATGTAATTACATATTATGTAATTATATTCTGGGAACTGAAGTCCACAAGTCATAAAAGGGCCAAGTTTGAAGACCCCTGCCTTAAAGCTACAGGTAGTCCTCAACTTACAACCTTTTAGTGACTGTTCAAAGTTACGACACTGAAAAAAGTGACTTATGACCATTTTTCACACAACCTTTGCAGCATCCCCACGGTCACATGATCAAAATTCAGATGCATGGAAACTGGCTCATATTTATGATGGCTGCAGTGTCCTGGGATCATGTGATCACCATTTGCAACTGTCTGACAAGCAAAGTCAATGGGGAAGCTAGATTCACTTTACAACTGTGTTATTAATTTACCAACTGCAGTGATTAACAACTGTAGCAAGATAGGTCGTAAAATGAGGCAAAATTCACAAAACTGTCTTGCTTAGTGACATTAATTTTGGGCTCAATTATGTTTGTAAGTTGAGTACTTTCTGTACTTTAAATGTATTATTCAACAAGACCAGGAAAAATGTAAAATATTACCAGTTGTCTGAAAGAATTTGCTTCTTGCCTATTACAGGACTACTAGTTTTACAGGAAAGCTGCTTGCTTCTAAAGAGGTCTGTTGGGGTGTGGCAAGGTGTGATAAGAAACTTGGGGTGTGGTGTACAGATGGGTCTGGCCCACTTTTTTAGTCTGGGTGACTCTTCACAGTCTGCAGTCAAAGAGAAAAAAAGTAGAAGTTCTGAAGTTTGTTGCGTAGGATCAAAGATTTATTTTGTCTAGTATCCTGTTGCCACTAGCAGCAGATAGACTCCTCAGGAAACCTACGAGAAGAGCTTTCTTATTCTCCCTCCACACACACCTGACTCCCCACAGTTGACATTACAATAAGTAATAAGCTCCTACCATAATGAACATTAAGCTTAGTTGATGTTCTTCGGGCCAATTCACTAACATTCCTGATTAAGTTAGCATGGAAAAGGAAAGGAGAAACACCGTAAAAAGAGGACAAGGTAGAAATAAACAGAAAGTTATGTATCTTGATAAAAATGACTAACTGGAAATTTCCAAAAGCTATAAAAGGTCAAAAACAATTCAGAGAGATAGCATACTTTCATAATACGTTTACCACCATTCCCACACATACACACTCATCAAGTGACATCAATCAAAAAATATTTCTGAAGCACAGATTTATGTAAAAATTATCCACATGTCTTAAAAGATTCTATTCAAAATATTTGATTTGACAAATTTCCATTTTTTAAATTTCTGATCCTTTGCTGTGACAAAACATTTTATCCAAGCTGCTAAGATCCAATGGCAAATGAGAAGGTATTTGTCAGCCTGGGAGTTGCCCACCTTAGCTGTAAGCTGCCTTTGGAGCTATCTCCAAGAATTGGTCCATTTTTTTAAAAAAAAAAGCCACCTAAAACTATGGTGACAACACCTTATGAAAGTGTATTCCAGAAGGTAAGCTACATTCTATATAAAGCAAATTCCATTATATTGCTCCTGACCTACGACCAATAGATACGTTTGAACATCCAAGTTCTAGCATTATGTGCTAAAAAAGCATACTGTCTACATTAGGTTGTTTGAAGGACCGTCTTTTCCCAATCTGATCTACCCGATCCACCAAAGTGTGGTGGCAGGGAATGCTATGGGTTCCCTCTCTAAAGAGATCCATCTGGTGGGACCAAGAAGAAGGGCCTTCTCCATGGTGGCTCCCTCCCTATGGAACATCATCCCTGCAGACACTCTTTGATACTCTTCGCAAGGCCGAGAAGACATGGTCTGCCGATGGCCACAGGAACCCCAGAATGATAGGGAGGCATCAATCATTGATTGTTGTCACCATTGAGGTGAGATTGTTGGCACAAATGAGGTGGAGTTATTGTTTTTTGTATTGTTTTTTGTACTGGGATTTTATTCTTGTAAGTCACCCAAAGTCACTGGGAGTGAGTTGGGCAGTCATAATTAATTAATTAATTAATTATAGCTTCATGAATTTACATTGTATCCACTCAATTATTTTTATAATTAATTAACAAGTAAATGATCTTTTTAGTTTTTCTTGTAAGAAAGATGATCCCAGCCCTTTTTGTTGAAACAAATGAGTGTGTTACTGTATTGTGTGGGACAATACAAAATAACACATTTCATCTCCTGGGAGACCAGGGATGAAATTAGAATGGAGAAGGCACTACAACAGCTTCAGAAAAAGTGACCAGCTTCTGGAGTAGAAAAGGAGGCAACACAAGAACAAGGAGAAAGAAGAGGGAATAAGGCAGGGACTATGCACAATATAAAGTCAGAAAGAACAGAATTTCTTTATTCCTCCAGAGCAAACAAAAATTGCCCTAAAACTAGTATTACCAGGAAGGCAATACTTGTGGAAATTCCAGAATTGGAATGTGGAAACAATTTGTGGAGATGGATAGAGATACATTAATCATTTGCAACTCCGATTGTTGGAATCTTGGAGATTCATCAGTATAATCTTATTGTCACCACTTGTCACAGACCAACATTCCCCAAAGTGGTGTTTTCCAAATCTGCTGTAATACACCATCCAATAGCCACGCTATACTAGGCTTAAGGAACTGTCGTCTAACACATTTTGATAGAAGGCTGGGAAAGACTCCATCAAATGCTTTCTCCCAAAATTCTCCAGAAATGGCAATTAATATTGAGAGGGGATAATATTGTATGGGGATCACAGAGTGATACACAACCCTAGGAGTGTTTAGCGCCTTGATGTCCCTCCCCAACCTTTAAAAGTTTATCTTATCCTTCTTTTTTACTTGGCTCCATTTATTTATTTGATTCTTATCCCAGCTTTATCATTTTTTATAAATAATTCAAGGTGGCAAACATACATAATGCTCCTTCCTCCTATTTTCCTCACAATTATCCTGTGAGGTGAGTTGGGCTGAGAGAGAGTGACTGGCCCAAGATCATCCAGCTGGTTTTCATGTCTAAAGCAGGACTAGAACTCACAGTCTGCTTGTTTGTAGGTAGGCTAGGACCTTAAAACTACCACACCAAACTGGCTCTCATCCATTTCTCCTTTTTTTAAATTGATGTCTTGTCTTTTTATATCATTTATATTCTTTTATATTTTAGCTGTACAACCCCCAGAGTCACTCTGAGGTGGGCAGTATCTACATTTGACAAATATTTGTTTTAGGAAAGACTTAGTTGGCCATTGCCACATAAAACAGGAAACTATTTGAACATATTGTTTATTTCTTTGTTCAATTTAGTTTCTACCTTCCCTTCAGGAACTCAAAGTGGTGAAATAGCCTTCCCTCCTATTTTTCCCACAACAACCCTGTGAAGGACAATATACGGTAGTTACCTTGCTCTTCTCCAAGAGGAAGTGGTGCAGAAAGTCGCCACTTAGTATTTCTCCTATCTAGTTTTGGAAATGACTTCAAAAATTCTTGCTTCAGGAACTGAGCCTTCTGTTCTTCGAACTGTTTCCTCTATCAAGAAACAAATGGGGAATATAATTATTAGGATTGTGCAGAGCTTTGGATTCAGGCTCCAAAAGTTGCTTTGCAGTATTCAGATAGCATTTGCCCACAATAATTTAAACCTCTTCTGTCTTTTCCTAGGCTAGTGCAGTGTGTTTTAAGGTGCTCCAAACAAAAAGCAAGAAATCTGTTCAAATCAATAAGAGGGCACACTGAGTGACATCCAGACACCCACTCTTATTACTGTATCTTTCATTATGTTGTGTTTTATCCTTCTAGTGTAGCATTAATAAGAAAAGCCTCTTCTCATTTTCCCTTAGTCTCTTCTCTTAATCTCTATTGCCCTCTCTGCTTTTCCATTGTTCTATTCAAAATCCTAACTTAACCCTAACTTTGACTTTATCACGAGCATACATTGCTTAAAATTCTTCCTGTTGCCCTCAAAAATTTGATTGTGCCTCTATCTCAATATGTTCTTTGAATTATTGTATCTAGCCCAGTCCAGAATTGTTCAATCTCCTGGCCATTAAAAAAAAAAACTCCCTCTGCCATGGTCTTTAGATTTCTTCTCCTTGTTTGCACTGCCCTATTGTCTCTAAAAAAAGAGGTTCTTGTGCTACACTTCTCCCACTGGTAGAATTTAAAATAAAGCATGATTACTGTTCACCTTGCTAATTTTTTTAGCAGCATAGGTAGACATCAACTTAAGACCACAATTGAGCCCAAAATTTCTGTTGCTAAGCAAGACATTGGTTAAATGAATTTTGCCCCATTTTACAACATTTCTTGCCACAGTTGTTAAGTGAATCATTGCAGTTGTTAAGTTAGTAACACGGTTGTTAAATGAATCTGGCTTCCACATTGACTTTGCTCGTCAGAAGTTCGCAAAAGCTGAACACATGACCCCAGGACACTGCAACCGTCATAAATATGAATCACTTGCCAAGCGGCTGAATTTTGATCACCTGACCAACTGTAATAAGTGTGAAATACGATCATTTTTTCATTATAACTTTGAACAGTCACTAAATGAACAGTTGTAAGTTGAGGACTATTTCAGTAGTTTCTTTGGGGCCTACAAACATATTCAAAATTTGAGATTAACCAGAGGGCATTGTCACTAAGGAAAGACTCTAAATGTTCTATCTCTCCCTCATTTACTCCAAGTTACTTAGCTGCTTTTCCCCTGCCCATGAATATTGGTTGATTTTAACAAAGATGATGATTTTTTCTTATGGGCTATCATAGGACAATACCCCTAAACACAAAGGGAGAAGTTAAGATGAAAAATCTACTGTAGGTTTTATAGAGAAATTGCTGCTGTTGGCCATAATATGAAATTATCAACTTGGCCTCGGGGAAGCAGGGGGAATGACAGCTGTCTACCTCCCATCCTAGTCGAATGGCTGCTTCAGTAAAGTTCTTCCGTTCCCCTTCAAACGCCTGTTTCTGCTCCTCAAACAGTTCTCGCTCCTCCTGTAGCTGCTGTTGTTCCTCTAAGAAGTAAGAGCCCTTCAGGTGGGCAGGCAGTTCTGAATTGGCAGCAGACATTAATTGCTCCTGGAAAGTATTATTTTGAGTTAAATTTACAAACAGATCCATAGAGTTCAAAAACATGAATTTTCCATTGCTTTCTTTACAATAGCTTAACTGTTACAACTTTTCTCAGCAAATCCGGACATATACTTTGGCGAGGATGATTAGAATTCTGCCGTGAAAAGTGAAGTGAGTCTCTCGCAGAACTACAGTTCCCAGCATTCTTGGGAAGAAAAACAAGGCTATTAACTAGATAAACAGAGTGTCTTTTGTTGCATGAACCAATAGAGGGAACCAGAAGGCTAACAGAAGGAAAGAGAATGAGAGTTTCTTCTTTGAAATGCCCTAACTATGAGAATGAAAGTCATTTTCAATGTTTAGGTAGGTTTTATAGTAGCATTTTATTTACTGTGCTGCTAAATCGCTTTTTTAAAATAAATACATTCTTGGTCTCATTCAGAAAGGCCGTTTATAAGCAAATAAATATTTTGTGTTTGTTAATTTAGTAACTGAAGATGTAATTACGTGATATCAGATTAATGCAGAGTAGAACACAAAACACAGAATAGGGTTGGAAGGGACCTTGGAGTCTTCTAGTTCAACCCACTGCTCAGGCAGGAGACCCTATATCATTCTGGCCAAATGGCTGTCCAGTGGGTGATGGAGCACCCACAACTTCTGGAGGCAAGCCATTCCACTGATTAATTGTTCTCACTGTCAGGAAATTTCTTCTTAGTTCTAGATTGGATCTTTCCTTGATAAGTTTCTATCTGTTACTTCTTGTCCTGTCCTCAGATGTTTTGGAGAATAGTTGACACCCTCTTATCTAAATTCAAAAGATCAACAATAACGCATCGGATAGAATTTTCAGAGGACACTTTTTGGTATGGGGCTGCTTTCTCCTTTCCCTTAATTAGGGAGTAAATGCCAAATACAAATAGTTCTCCTTACAACTACCAGCCTTTGATATCCCACCTGCCCAAAAGGCTAGGAGCACCAGGAGAGAGCAAAGCACCTGGAAGCAGCCATTTACCTGGAAACACTGCTGCTGCAATGCAATCAGTCCTCGGCTCTCTTCAATCTCTTTCTTTAATTTCATTATTTCCTTGTCATGATCCGTCACAATGACCACAGGGTTTGGACCATCTCCCTCAGACATTTGGCAACCAACAGCTGGGCAAAAAGATAAAAACGGAGACTGGCTTGATGTACTTTTTATCCTCATGAACCTGGACTAGGGAAAATTTAGGGCAATTGAAGATATATATCTTATATAGCCCATATTCAGACACACACACACACACACTTAAATACTGAAACTATATTTAAATGTTTGTTTGAAACTAGTATGGCTTGGTTAAAGGGGTGTGGTGGCCTAGCTTTTAGGTTTCTAGGATTCTTGACCAGAAGGTTGACAGTTTGAGACCCAAACACCATGTGATGGAGTGAGCTCCTGTCCTTGCCTCAGCCTTTGCTCACCTAGCAGTTCAAAAGCATGCAAATGCAAGTAAATCACTAGGTACTACTTGGGTGGGAAAGGTAAGGGCATTCTGTGAGCCTCAGTGTATAGTCATGCTGGCCACCTGACTATGGAAGCATCTTCACACAATGCTAGGAAACAGAGATGAGCATTGCCCCCTAGAGACAGACACGACTGGACAGGGGAAACCTTTATCTTTATAGCTTGATTAAGAGAGTTGGGAAGCTGGCTCCATGCCCTTTAATGTTTATCTTTAAACTTTTTTCGTATTACAAAACAATCAGAGTTCTACCTTATAGGCTTGTAAACTAGGTCAAATTGTAAAACTGTAAATAGGATCAGAAACGTTTATTTATCAGACTTCCGGTGGCAGGCGACTTCGTCGGTCGCAGCTGTTTGCTGCCTCCCGCCTGTTTCGCGTAAAAGCCGGTTTGACAGCCAGCACCAGCTGTCAAACGGCTTGATACCTTTCCCCTGGGTATAAGGGGATAGGTGAGCTGCCCGGGGTAGGAGTTGAGTTCCCGAGTCGTCCTATATGGACGATGTAGGTGAGAAC